TGCACGGTCATCAGATTTGGCACAATACTTTCCTTTCCCCCTTCGATTATCTTGGAATATTCCATGTACTTCATTTGTACCTGATCTATCCATATAGATTGCATTTGTGTGTTTACAGTTTCGTGAACTCTAGCCATGTCTTGAAGCACAAATAAAGTTACTGTACCTGACTTTTCAAGAAACTTTCGACGAAGCTTTGGGTCTCTGCATTTTTCAATAATTTGATCACGAATTGCTTCATCTACATTGGTAAACTCGCATGAAATAGACTTTTGTCGAAGTCGACAAACAAATTGATCTATGGTTTCATTCTCTTTTTGCTGCATTTGTCGAAACATATGTCTTTCAAAAGCCACATTTACTTTGGTGTAAAATATGCATCTAAAGCATCGATTCAAACATTCCTGAAGATTGTTATCTTCACTATCTGGGCTTAAAGTATAATACAGTTCTTGTAATTCCATTCCTCCGGAGTGTAATAACAAAGCAACTTTTTGCTGTTCATTTGTAACTCCTTTTGACACCATATACAGGTTGAAAGCGCGCTTCCATCTTTTCCAGCGAATTGATAGTGTATTTGGATCTCCCTTGTGGTCGAAGCAAGGAAAACCACCAACTTCGAGTACTTTCGCATTCGTATTTATATTTAAAACAACGGCTCCACTCGATTCACCTGCTTGAATATTTTCCGAATTTTGATTCGTTTCCATAGTACTAATTTATCAAAATTCCTTTTAAACAAGTCCTCGATATATTTAGATGTAAATCCTCGTCGCCATTTGTAGAGGGGCCTGTACCGGTTTTGCGGGATGGCGGGATGCGTCTAAAATGAAGTGGGATTCGGGATTTTAAGAGAAATATTGGCGGGAAGCGGGATTTTATCCCATCGCGGGAAGCAGGATTAATAAAAATACCATGGCGATATGCGGGAAGTAATCCACGATTATGGGGATAAAACAACAAAACTTGTAGCCGTACGTTAGCTGATCTGTTGTCGTTTGTTAGTGTGCTCGAAATGTACTGTTTTCCAGGATAATATCGAACATTTGTCCCCCATCAATCCCCCATTTACATGTATGATTGCTGTTTTCAAAAGTGTCGCGATTTAGAGTCATTTATTATTTTAAACTTTGTTATATTGTATTCTAATGTATTCAAATTGTATTCTAATGTATTCAAATTGTGTTTTATGTGTTTTATGTCAAAGTCGGGAGCGGGAAATTGGGGTGAGGCATGGCGGGATAACGGGATTTGAAGTGAAAATCGGTCGGGATGGCGGGATTTCGGAACACGGTACAGGCCCCTCTTTGTAGTATGTCTCCCAGTAAAACAACAGATTGAACTCGATTAAACATAAACAATTTACTGAACACGTATATTTAGTAAAACGCCATCTTGGATTTTTAATCTTTTTCTATACTTCATGTTACAACAATATAGTAAACACTACGCATCAATCTATTTTAAACTATATCACTCCTCTGTTCTCTCTAAATTAATACGACATGATCCTTAACCGTAACCCCAAATTAACTATACCCACACTAACATAAAGTTGTCAAAAATGTTGCTAAATTTTCAGTTTATTGGACATTTTAGAACTGTGCATTTTTTTATACACCCTGTATATGTATATTTCAATCTTTTGTTCCAGGAACAAAATGTCAAATATTTGGAATACAATCAGAGGTTTCCTTCTGTGTTGTTGGAGAAGGAATAACAGAATGAGACTAGTGACTGAAACTGAAATGCCTGACAGACAACAACTGTCAAGCAGCAAATGATGAAGAGCAAACACCACCACCATCACTTAATAAACCCAGCTTTATGAACACATGATTAAAAAGTTGTATGAAAACCAATGTACCAAGTGTATCATCATAGAGAACAAAGAAATAAAGTAATATGATTTACTTAGTCTTGAAAAGTAATACTAATACAGTAGTATACTAATAGTATTACTATTATTAAATGAGAATTTTGTTTGATATTTATATTTCATGTTATTTACAAAATGTACTGTAGTTTTGAAGTTTTGCACACAGTATAATAAGTGCGAGCACAATGGCTCCGTTTCAGTTTCAGTTTATAAAAATTGAGTATTTTGATAGCGTGGCCCTTAATGCATGAGTCAACATTAACCTCCACCCACCCCACCCCCGGAGAAAGGTGGGGATTTGTTTTGACTACCTTCCTAAAATAGTAAAAAAAAACCCATAGATATCTTATATACACTAGATAGTGCATCTAATTATTCTTCAATTCAAAAATTGAAGCCGTGATTGCAGTCTCAGGTCGTTCCCATGAAATGAGAAGATTCGTATGTTTTCTATTTCTTAAGTAGGGAACTTAAACATTAAGTTAACCCTATTCCAAATACATTTTTAAACTATTCAAATGATGAAAGTTATTGTTGTTTTTAAGCGTTTATTAGCAAGTGGGAACGACCAACATGGCCGCCATCTATTCAAATGGGGGTAACCGCTGGAATATTCTTGGCTTCAATTTTACTAAAAGAGATGCGCTATCTAGTGTATATAAGATATCTATGAAAAAACCCCATACCAGGGAACCACTTTCTCATCGAAACTCGACTTATAGCCCCATATCTGCGGCTGTTCCTTTTCAATTTTAATAGCAGTAATACAAACGGATAGTGAAAAGATTATAGAAACAGTTTTATAGATTATTTATACAAAAACTACGATTTGCAGCAAAACTGCGTCAGTGCATGCTAGCTTATTTATTAACGTGTCATCAGTAACTGTTCATTTTATGCATGTTCACACCTAAACTGACAAAATGATAAAGAAGTCATTGAAGGTTATATTTGTTCAGGTTTGTCCTAAATGAATCAAAATGTAACATTTGTAGAAATCCTTTTATACTGTATTTATGAAAATGTTCCTCTTTCCATGTGTTTTCTGTTGCCTCGTTTTGGTTTTGTGGTATATACTTCGTGTGATCCCTATTATAATGTATCGGGCTGATCCCTGACCCCCGCCCAACCCCGCCCCTAACCTCTAACCCCGAGTTGCCCGATACAACAAAATGAGCTCTTGTTATTACGGTGCAAAAACTGATAAGGGTCAAATGAAGTATCTACCGGTTTTGTTGTGTATAACCGCTGACCATATGCATTACAGACGAAAAATATTTTTGGTTCGGGCCCATAGACTTAGGTTATTTATTGTAAATATATATAATCAGTCTAATCGTAAGAACTGTCCAAGGGGATTACAAACCGTTGGTTTAGGTTAAGTTGTTATCGCCAAGTTAATGCTTAATGAGTCTTTGGGTTGATCAGAGTTTAAGAGTATAATGTTATAATAATTGGTTCACTTCAGCCTGATCCCATTCTCCCACAATAATTTAGCGTGTGTTTAATTCATTTTCCGGGAGTTTATTCACATATATAACTGCTTGGATAATTAAATGATTAATTAACTAAATCATAGTTAATCTAAATCATAATTAAGAACACAATATACTTTTGAACCACATTTTTTTTACAAATAAGTCAAAGCAAAGAGAAAAGAACGCACGCGAAAATTTTTGACTGAGCCCACCATTCCATAGAATTAATGCTCAGCGACATGCAGTAAAGGCTCAAAATAACGGCCAGTCAACGGACAATGACCGGCCATGCAAAAATGCCTCTTGACCG